TAGTCTGTTGATTAGTCAATTGATTAGTCTATTGATTAGTCAATTGATTAGTCTATTGATTAGTCAATTGACTAGTCAATTGATTAGTCTATTGATTAGTCAATTGACTAGTCTATTGATTAGTCAATTGATTAGTCAATTGATTAGTCTATTGATTAGTCTATTGAATAGTCTATTGATTAGTCTATTGACTAGTCTATTGATTAGCCAATTGACTAGTCTATTGAATAGTCTGTTGATTAGTCTATTGACTAGTCAATTGATTAGTCAATTGATTAGTCTGTTGATTAGTCAATTGATTAGTCTATTGATTAGTCTATTGAATAGTCTATTGATTAGTCTATTGACTAGTCTATTGATTAGCCAATTGATAAGTCTATTGATTAGTCTATTGATTAGTCAGTTGACTAGTCTGTTGATTAGTCTATTGATTAGTTTATTGACTAGTCTTTTGATTAGTCAATTGACTAGTCTATTGATTAGCCAATTGATAAGTCTATTGATTAGTCTATTGATTAGTCAGTTGACTAGTCTGTTGATTAGTCTATTGATTAGTCTATTGAATAGTCTATTGATTAGTCTATTGACTAGTCTATTGATTAGCCAATTGACTAGTCTATTGAATAGTCTGTTGATTAGTCTATTGACTAGTCAATTGATTAGTCAATTGATTAGTCTGTTGATTAGTCTGTTGATTAGTCAATTGACTAGTCTATTGATTAGTCAATTGACTATTCTATTGATATTTTTTATAATATTGAACCTAGAAACATGAACATTAAGAGTCCTAAGTTAGTGAAAATCAGCAGGAAAGTACTCTTGGTACTATATCGTTCTATGATTTGGCTTTTATACGCACAGGTAACACCCTGATTGATTTAAAATCTCTAAAATGAGACTTTCTGGTACTTTTTTTGTTTTACAACTGGTAGTTTTTGATTTTTTGTAATAAAACTCATAATGAATGTTTTTGTAACACATCATGGTGAAGGGTATATATGATTCGGCAAAACCAAATATACAACTCGCACTTGTTTTCTATTATATTGAAGCTAAAAGCATGAAATTAAGCATGAGAGTCCATTATTTGAGTACTTTTACATATATATTTAATAGCCCAATTCACGATTTGGTGTATTTTTTTCCAATTTTAAATATGTATATGCTATTAATTCTGAACGATTTTTTCTGCTTTTTGGGGGCTTTTCGCTTTAAATTCGTTCATTCCTCTATCTCCGGTGCTTCTAGAAGCAACATTTTTTGTTTAATTTCTTCTTTTTATTACTTTTGTAATTTAATGTTTTTTTAATTGTTTTTATATAAATTATTTATTTTTCAAGCTGTCTGTTTGTATTGCAAAATTTTGAGTAAATAATAACTACGTATTTAAGTGTAGTATATTTTATAAACCGTAGCATGAGTATTTCAGTATATTTTGTTAGTGAATTCTAAAAATATACACTAGATTGTGAATTGGGCTAATGCGAATATACTTTTTTTACAATATAAAAATATTGGACACATTAATTTTAATACCTTAACGTTATTGTTTTTTCTAGACGTGCCGAATGGCTTCGCATATTATGTGTGAAGTCATCGGTGAAACGCTTATATGCATGTAGTCGGCATTTTTCGGAAGAATTCATTTTTGGGAATAAAATATCTAAATTTGCTGTTCCAAAAAGTGAAACTTCTGAACTAAAGAACACTTTGCCTTTAGAATCTAATTTATTAAATTCAACTCCAGTTTCAATTCTCAACGAAGAAAATACAACAGGTTTAGATAGCTCAGATAATTTAACAGACAAGGACATTCCTATGACAGACATTGTGACGCAAAATAGCGTAGATGCTCCAATAGATATTCAGACGACAGAAGACAATTCTAATATTGAGGTTCTAGAAGAAGACATAGGTGACATAGATATTACAGTGGGAGCCACAGAGAAAACCTATTCCTACAAATTAAGGACACTACAAACGGCACTCGACAATTTCCGAGGACGATATTTGACAGAGAAACGGATTAAATCCAGATTACAGACAGAAAATGCTAGGTTATCGACACAGGTAGATAAATACAAGAAAAAAGTTGAGAAATTGGAATTTGAGTTGAAGAAGAAGAATGATATGTCGTCGAAAGTATCAAATTCTATGTCGGTTTGTTTAGAAAATAGTTTAATTAATCATAATAGAGAGCCCAAAAATCGTCGGTATGGTATTGGCTTAAAATTAATAGCTCTAGCTGTGTATTTCCTTTCTCCTTTAGTATACCGTTACTTAATTATTTTGCTGGATTGGCCTCAAGTTAGAACTTTACAACGGTTTGTAAAGGACTGGCCAAAATCTCCAGGTAATTTAAATGGAACTTATGAAGCGTTAAAAGAACGTGCACGCGGATTTACGGAGGAAGAGAAGTACGTTAGTGTATCTTGTGACGAAATGTCTTTGAAATCTTTTCTTGATTACGATAGGTTTAAAGACAAAATAATAGGCCTAGAGGATTTCGGGGACGAAAATCGTTCACGAAATATAGCGACTAGCGCTATGGTTATTATGGCAAGTGGAATAGGTGGCAATAGTTGGTCGCAAGCTGTTTCTTATTTCTTTGTAAAAGGTAGTTGTAAAGGACATGTTATGAAAAAATATATTTTCGAGGCAATATCGAAGTTACAAGACATAGGATTGAAACCTTGCCAATTCGTTTGCGATCAAGGAGCCAATTTCGTCAACTTTTCAAAGAGTGTTGAAGTAACTGTCCAACGACCATATTTTGAGGTAAATGACAAACAGATTCATTTTATGCACGACAGTCCTCACCTTTTGAAAAGCAGTCGGAATTGTCTTTTAAATAAAGGCAATAAAATTTATTTTGAAAATAAGCTTGTATCTTGGGAAGACGTGATTCATTTCCACAAAGTAGATTCAAATTCCATAAAATGTGCCCCTAAGCTAAGTATGGAGCATATTCATCCTAATAATTTCCAAAAAATGAAAGTCAACTTAGCAGCTCAAGTTTTAAGCCGTACTGTTGTTACCGGAATGCGAATACTACAAGCTTCAGGGAAATTAGATTCTTCTAGATCTTCAACATTTTTGAGCACCGCTGACTATTTAGAATTTTTTAACGATCTTTTTGACATTTTCAATAGCCGTACAGAGGGAACAATTTTTAATGCTTCCGACGAACAGTTGGAATTCCTTAGACAGGCCTCGAAAAAACTTCTTTCCATTAAAATTATTGACGAAAAGGGAATAGATATAACAAAAACTTTTAAATTTATTAACGGTTGGTTAAACAACATTTCGGCTTTGAAAAGCCTTTTCCTTTATCTTAATCAAGAAGGATTTCAGGGAATCAAGACACGACGACTTACACAGGATCATTTGGAACATTTCTTTGGCCAAATTCGAAAGGGATCTGGTAATTCAGTACGAATTACACCTCGTAATTTTTCAAGCTCATTCCAAAAGAGGTGGGGTCTTCAGTATGTCAATGTAGTAGTAAATGGAAACTGTGAAACTGTTTCCCAGGAAGATAAAATATTAGATTTTTCCATAGTAGATTTTGCTTATAGTTTAGATGCTAATAATACCCAATGGGATGAGTTTCATTCTCTACCAAATCCTTGTCCATCCATTAGAGAGTCAGATGTTCATGATAGTAGTCTTGATAGGGAGGAAAGTGTTGTCCTTGAAAACAATGCATTTGTTTACATATGCGGATATTTTTATTTCAAACTGCATAAAATGCATTTATGTGATCACCCCTTACCAAATTTTGATAGCAACGAAGAAATTCCGTTAGATTATAGCTTCACCTTTGCCAAACAATTTGAAAACTGTCACCTAGTTAAACCACCTCAAGAGTTCGTTGCTTATTGTTCAGAATTAGAGAGGAAATTCATGAGTATTTTTGATAGTAATTGCCATCGAGATAACCTTCTTCAAATTATTTTTAACGAGCTTGTTAGTATACAACCATATCTCTGTTGTGGTAATATTAAACATGAGGATATTTTAAATTTATTTATTCGTATTAGAATTTATTTTATTCTTAGATTTTTTAATGCCAAAATGAAAGAACCCAATTTCAAGCAAAAATATCTTTGCGTCTCTCACTTGTAATATTCTACTTCTTATATTCCAAATGATCCACTTCAATTAGGCAAGGACAGAGTTGTTTACTTGATACATTATCTAAATATCATTTAAAATCATTCTTTCAATATATGAGATATTATCAATCTTACAGGCTTTAGTTCAGAAGTATTCATTTCTTAGTTAAGATGCTTTTTATTTTAATATTTTGTATATATTTTTTTAATTAATTTTATTAATCATTATTTTGCATATATTTTTACATAATTTCATTTCAATTATTTGGTATTGGATTACATTTATTTCTCACACATCTAATTTGCTTGCTAACACAATAACACTAACAAACATAACACCTGGTATTAACAATACATTATTATAATTTAGTTCAATGTGTATGAAATGTATGTATATAAAGTACTTAAACCCAACATAATTCACAAAAACTTCCACTACACGAAATACATTCACCAATCTTTCTAAAAATGTAATATCTTTAATATATTTTATTTTTTGCATTTGCAATTTGTTTATATCATTTATATATTGAATGTTTAAGAGGTTTTGTGTACATATACTTTTATACTATATATAATTATTTTGAATTAAAATCAACATTGTAGTATTGTAGTATGAGCTATTAAAAACATTATTTTCCAAAAGAATCTTGGTTATAACTTTGTTTTACTGTAATCCAGGAGTAAGTACAGCGAATATAAAATGCGTCAGCATTTCTAGCATAAACTTACTCAAGACCATCATGCGTGGTGAAGAACCACAACCTACTTGAGGTGATGCTGTTTAATACAGAACATGACGGATCTAGACCAGAAAAGGTCGATAAAAAATCATCCAACAAAATAAAAACTGGTAATCATTACTGTAATTGACAATTACAATTACTAATTGTAAGTTTATTAAACCGAACATTGTAACACATTTGAAAATTATAAATTTTAATATATTTATGGCTTCCATTTCAGTGAACTCCGTGCATGATTTGGTCCAATTGGTCCATTAGCTTCAGGTCAGTAGCCTTGACAAAATTTGTAAAATTTTGTCCATAGTGTACCCTTAAACGAAAAGAGAAAAACTTTGTTAATAATGATTTTTGTTTTTTTGTTTTATTTTCAGGCACTTGAGGGTACTTACCGCTGATCCAGGAGACATTTGGTCCAATTCGTCCATTAGCTTCAGGTCAGTAGCCTTGACAAAATTTGTAAAATTTTGTCCATAGTGTACCCTTAAACGAAAAGAGAAAAACTTTGTTAATAATGATTTTTGTTTTTTTGTTTTATTTTCAGGCACTTGAGGGTACTTACCGCTGATCCAGGAGAGATTTGGTCCAATTCGTCCATTAGCTTCAGGTCAGTAGCCTTGACAAAATTTGTAAAATTTTGTCCATAGTGTACCCTTAAACGAAAAGAGAAAAACTTTGTTAATAATGATTTTTGTTTTTTTGTTTTATTTTCAGGCACTTGAGGGTACTTACCGCTGATCCAGGAGACATTTGGTCCAATTCGTCCATTAGCTTCAGGTCAGTAGCCTTGACAAAATTTGTAAAATTTTGTCCATAGTGTACCCTTAAACGAAAAGAGAAAAACTTTGTTAATAATGATTTTTGTTTTTTTGTTTTATTTTCAGGCACTTGAGGGTACTTACCGCTGATCCAGGAGAGATTTGGTCCAATTCGTCCATTAGCTTCAGGTCAGTAGCCTTGACAAAATTTGTAAAATTTTGTCCATAGTGTACCCTTAAACGAAAAGAGAAAAACTTTGTTAATAATGATTTTTGTTTTTTTGTTTTATTTTCAGGCACTTGAGGGTACTTACCGCTGATCCAGGAGACATTTGGTCCAATTCGTCCATTAGCTTCAGGTCAGTAGCCTTGACAAAATTTGTAAAATTTTGTCCATAGTGTACCCTTAAACGAAAAGAGAAAAACTTTGTTAATAATGATTTTTGTTTTTTTGTTTTATTTTCAGGCACTTGAGGGTACTTACCGCTGATCCAGGAGAGATTTGGTCCAATTCGTCCATTAGCTTCAGGTCAGTAGCCTTGACAAAATTTGTAAAATTTTGTCCATAGTGTACCCTTAAACGAAAAGAGAAAAACTTTGTTAATAATGATTTTTGTTTTTTTGTTTTATTTTCAGGCACTTGAGGGTACTTACCGCTGATCCAGGAGAGATTTGGTCCAATTCGTCCATTAGCTTCAGGTCAGTAGCCTTGACAAAATTTGTAAAATTTTGTCCATAGTGTACCCTTAAACGAAAAGAGAAAAACTTTGTTAATAATGATTTTTGTTTTTTTGTTTTATTTTCAGGCACTTGAGGGTACTTACCGCTGATCCAGGAGACATTTGGTCCAATTCGTCCATTAGCTTCAGGTCAGTAGCCTTGACAAAATTTGTAAAATTTTGTCCATAGTGTACCCTTAAACGAAAAGAGAAAAACTTTGTTAATAATGATTTTTGTTTTTTTGTTTTATTTTCAGGCACTTGAGGGTACTTACCGCTGATCCAGGAGAGATTTGGTCCAATTCGTCCATTAGCTTCAGGTCAGTAGCCTTGACAAAATTTGTAAAATTTTGTCCATAGTGTACCCTTAAACGAAAAGAGAAAAACTTTGTTAATAATGATTTTTGTTTTTTTGTTTTATTTTCAGGCACTTGAGGGTACTTACCGCTGATCCAGGAGACATTTGGTCCAATTCGTCCATTAGCTTCCAGGTCAGTAGCCAACAATTAGAAAATTTCCAGATATTAAAAAATTTCTTGCAAAAAAACAAAGAATTAATATTATTACAAATACAACGTATTAAAATGTATTTTTCTTTATTTGCAGATATTACTTACCATTTTTCCACAAGGTACAACTTCGTTGGAGTTCATTTTTGTTATTTTTTTTATAAATAAACAAAAAAAAATAAAAAATTGTGAAAATTTTTCAATAAATTTTGTGTTTATTTATTTATTTATTTTTGAACACATGTTAAAAAAGGTAGTATATGGTTGATATTTTTTTCACATTAGTGTGCGTATATGTGATATTTTTTCTTTCTTTCATATTATGGGGGTAAGCTCAGCTGATAATCGCTTTTTACAAACGTCAGTTCTGACAAATCTGGTTATATCTGTGGTGTATACGCTCATGCAACTTGCAAGGAATGTTAATATTATTTTTTGAGGGGATCTTATATTAGGGCTAAAACCTGATACATATATCCCAATCCTTATGTGTCTTACAAACTTGTATTTTTTATTAATTTAACAACATATTTCGAGTCTTTTTACTAAATTGTTAGATTTTTTAACTACAAGATGTCGATTTTCTACAATTCCTCAATTTTAGGCTTTTTTATTGTACGTGTAAACGTCCAAAAAATTAATTCTGCGTTTTCTAACAAGTTTGCGGGTTTTCTTTCAAAAGTTGGTTGACAACATTGATAAACTGACACAAATATTATTAAGTTAATCAAATGTGCGGCGACATATTGTGAATCATCCATATAATACGTAAACTGAAAATTGCAAAAGTTGTGTTCGTAAATTTTATAATAAAAATATATTTTTTTAAAACTTCATAAATATTATTTTGCATTCAGACTGAGTTATTAATCGAAAACATAAAAATGACGAGCGATGTATCAGAAGTTGTACAAAACTTGGAATTACCACCATTGCGTACCTTAAATGACTTTATTTTAGGCTCTGCTCGTTTTCAGCTACCTAATCTTAAGGACTACGATAAATGGGGAAATCGCGTAGTTAAAAATCTGCTTTATTATCAGACAAATTATTTTTTAATATTTTTATCAGTGTACGCACTGATGATGGTATTCAATCCCCTCAAAATTATATGCGGTCTTTTGGTTCAAGCCATGGTCATTGCCATAGTTTTGCACCTCTTTAGTGGTAAAAAATGGCTTGTTGGAGTACAACTACGCAACGCAAGCAATCCAAATCAAAAATGGTATTTCCTAGCCGGTGCGCTTTTAATCGGCTATATGTTGCTGCATTGGATTGATGCAGTTTTGCTATCAAGTTTCACATTACTGCTACCATTTTCTTGTAAGTACCATGTAAATTGAAGTAATATAATTAATAACTGGTTGTAAAGCTAGATCCCTAAACCAACTTGTGCTTTACAAGACTACAAAGATGTATTTTTATATTTATAAGAATGACCAAAAAAATTTCATATACGCTTAAAAGGCATTTTTAGTCAAGCCGGTGTTTGATACGGCATGGTTCCAAAGCTAGTTCTACAGAAAATGTTATTAGGTATAAACAATACAAAATTACTATGCTACAAACTTCTGCAGAAATATTTTGGCCTTTAGAAAATACGATTTCTCAACGTGCAAATTTTCAACATTTACACAACTTTCATAATTCCATTAGAATTAAAAGATATATCAACGGCCATACCTATATTAATGCGTTGAGCATTGCGTTACTTGTAATTTGTTTTTGTTTTCAATGTTTTTATGGAACGCAACGCTCAACGCTTTAATTTAGGTATGGCCTTGGTTTTGGGATTTAGGTTTTTTACCAATTAGTTTAATATCTAAATATTTTTAAATAATTAGATTGTCTTAAATTAATTATTATTAAGTAGAAATATATAATCGCTTATGGCCTATAGTCTGGGTTATAGAATATTATTAAACAAATTTTAAGTCAAGATAGAAGATATGCCCTGACATAATGAAATCACGAACTTTTATTTTTTAGAAAAAGGCTTCACATATTTTAAAATTGGTTATTTCGCATTCAAATTATTTCAATAGGTTTTAAAACCGGTTTTTTCTGCTTTACCAGTGTCGGTATTTTCTTAATGTTGATTTTTCGAATATCGAATAACCCGGTTTTTTCACTTTTTAAAAACCGGTTTCGAATACTTTTATTTGCTTTGTATTCAAAGATTATTTAAAAGAAATTTTTAAGTAAATAATAATACAGCCCGTCTAAATTTTAAAAATATTCGAGATGAGGAACTAGCGTATATTTTTCTACAGCTCCTTTGGTTAAACTTTTTGAATTTTCCTAATTAATTAAAAAAATTTATTTGTAAAATTGATAACTGTTTGATAAAATTTTATCAATCTTAAGATTATATTCCAATTACCATAATTAATTTACGGCTGAAATTTTATGGAAGTGTTGGAATGCCTATGCAAATTTCCTAAACAGGGCTTTTAAAATAAGCTAGGATTACATAGTACCTTATGTTTAACAGAAGTGTCCCACTTTTTTCCTAATTTTTTTATATTAAAGAAATAATGTAAATCAGACGACTAGATCTAAAGTTATAATCTTTTAAACTGTTAAAAATCATTTCGGGACATGTTTTATTAATCAAATTTAAACATAAAGATTCAGTTTTTCAAATTAAAATATATTTGTTTTAGTTATAATGAAAAACCGGTTAACCGGTGAAGTCAATTCTACAAAAACAACAAAAGTAGATACTTCTGTCAAAAAAATTACATGTTGCCACCGTGTTTTTTATTTTAATTTACCTTACAAAAAGACAATCCCACATGCCCAAAAATCTCTTCACGTAAAGTAAATATTTATTATAAGATAAAATTTATTACAAATTATACATGAATTGAAAAATTATTCACAAACAAAATTTTTATGGTATAAATTAAGCGTTCTGATCCAGCTGATTTTAAAACTTTTGTTTATACCACATGATAGTACTTGTTCTTGTGACTTCAACAAAGGAAAAAAAATTATCCGCTCTATTAAGGTTCGGGAGTTATGGGCCTCCAAAGGTCTGATATATAATTGGATATATCTCGATCACTGATAAACGGATATGGTCGATATGGGTATCATTGGAAAGGTCTTTGACAGAGCTTTCCACTGATGCGTTAGATGACAAATATTATTAACCCATTGAGAACCAGGGTGATTTTTTTTGTTTTTTCCTTTGACTTTTTTTAAAAAAGTACCGTTATCTCTAAAACATATCGATATAACGGTACCTCATCTTACGTGAATGTTTGTAGACAACATTTGGGGCTTTCCTTTGATATAGGTTTGAAAGCTATAACCCATGAAATGCAGGTGTTATTTAAGTTTAAAATTTTATATTTTCATAAATTTTGATTTTTATCATATGTAATTATAAATCTAAAGTGCATATTATTTGATATGGTCAATATGGGTACCAGTGGATAGGTCTCTGAAATACCTTTCAATTGATGTATATTGTAACTTATATCATTAACTCATTGAGAACCAGGGTGAATTTGTTTGTTTTTTCATTTGTCTTTTTTTAGAAAAGTACCGTTATCTCTAAAACATATCGATATAACGGTACCTCATCTTACGTGAATGTTTGTAGACAACATTTGGGGCTTTCCTTTGATATATGTTTGAAAGCTATAACCCATGAAATGCAGGTGTTATTTAAGTTTAAAATTTTATATTTTCGTAAATTTTGATTTTTATCATATGTTATTATAAATCTCAAGTGCTTATTATTTGATATGGTCAATATGGGTATCAGTGGATAGGTCTCTGAAATACCTTTCAATTGATGTATATTGTAACTTATATCATTAACCCATTGAGAGCCAGGGGCAATTTGTATATAAATTTCTTTTATTGTTTTTACAAAAGTACCGTTATCTCAAAAATAAATCGATGTAAGGGTACCTCATTTAACATGAAATTGTAAAATATTTGGGCTTTTTTATAATATACGTTTGAAATTTGTAACTCATGAAGTTTAGAAGTTTTTAAGTTAATTTAGAAAGAAAGCATATCTAGGTGAAATAAATTATTAAACAAAGAAGTGGGTAAGTTGTTTCACTTTTTGATGAAATTTTTGAGTATTTCGCATAAATTTACTACGGATTAAAATGAATATAAAATTTATTTATTAACATTTGGGGCTTTCCTTTGATATAGGTTTGAAAGCTATAACCCATGAAATGCAGGTGTTATTTAAGTTTAAAATTTTATATTTTCATAAATTTTGATTTTTATCATATGTAATTATAAATCTAAAGTGCATATTATTTGATATGGTCAATATGGGTATCAGTGGATAGGTCTCTGAAATACCTTTCAATTGATGTATATTGTAACTTATATCATTAACTCATTGAGAACCAGGGTGAATTTTTTTGTTTTTTCATTTGTCTTTTTTTAGAAAAGTACCGTTATCTCTAAAACATATCGATATAACGGTACCTCATCTTACGTGAATGTTTGTAGACAACATTTGGGGCTTTCCTTTGATATATGTTTGAAAGCTATAACCCATGAAATGCAGGTGTTATTTAAGTTTAAAATTTTATATTTTCGTAAATTTTGATTTTTATCATATGTTATTATAAATCTCAAGTGCTTATTATTTGATATGGTCAATATGGGTATCAGTGGATAGGTCTCTGAAATACCTTTCAATTGATGTATATTGTAACTTATATCATTAACCCATTGAGAGCCAGGGGCAATTTGTATATATTTCTATTTATTTTTTTTACAAAAGTACCGTTATTTCAAAAATAAATCGATATAAAGGTACTTTATGTCACATGAAATCTTATAGACAACATTATAAGCTTTCATATTGTTCAAGTTCGATTTATGGTTTACACTTGTTTTGATAACATATGCAAATACTATTTTTTGCAACGTTAGAATCTTATTAAGCTCCGCTTTATTTACAACTTTGTTGGAAAATTCTAACGAGTAAACCGTTAACGGTACCTAAATATTGTTTGCCACCAATCTACGTTTTGTAAATTAAAAAACACTTCTTTTCTGATCGTCAACATAAGCACTACGTGCTCTTGGCGTTATTGCTTCTACGAGGTAAAATAATAATAATAAATAAATACAGAGAGATCTACGTCTCATTAAATTTGCAAATATTTTGTTTTATTTTCATAAAATCTTGGGAAATTGTGGTGGAGCTGAACATTTGGTCCTAGCGAACCGGATTTTTTGTGTATCATATACGGATTTTTGGCATCTTCACTCCATCATCCCTTGGAAAACATACAGTCCACCGAAGATATATTTTTTATTAATTTTTACGAAATTTCTACGAAATAAGGTACGTAAATATATTTCAATTGTGAGCAAGTGATAAAAAATTCTATAGTTGTTTCGCGATCACACACACATATTTTTTGTGATTTTTCAATTGGTTTAACTTGTTGTATTTGTGGATATTTTGCACTAATTTTAACTTTAATTTATATCAAAAAATATTTAAATTCTTTTGATCTTACGGACAATAATTTAAAGCGATATTGTTGATCTTATTTTATTATAAATTAGTGTTTCATTACATTTTCTTTTGTGCGTTTGTTTGTTTACAGATTTACATCTGTAAATTCTACCAACAAAATACATTACGGTGTATTCTTGTTCTTCCCTTATATTGGGTACCCTACGGTCGGTCAGTTTGACTATTATCAAGTTTGTTGATATAAATTTTGTATTCAATTCGTAGTTTAATATCGAGTTATTAATTCATCTATTTTTATTACAATTTTTAAATATTAAAAATGTCGGTCACGTCACTAAATGCGTTTATTAGAGCATCGGATGCTCTCGTTGCATACCGCGTGAGGTTTGATAATTTAGATGATGAATTGCATGACGTTTTTAAGTTGGAGATTCGGAAACGGGAGTTAGAAAGACTTTGGGACAAAGTTAATTCGACGTACGAAGTATGTCTTAACACTCTAGAGTCTAGTGAATTTAAAGTGGTAGCGGAAAAATATCAAGCCACATCTTATGAATATATTGAATGTGGAGGATCTATTTCTAAGAAAATAAGAACATTGGAATCCGCTTCAAAAACTAATGAACCTCCAACAGCGAATTTGAATTCCGATACTTCAGAGCATAATCTGACGCTCCCTCCATGCGATATCGACTCTTTCGTAGGGGATTATGTTTCATGGCCCGCTTTTAGGGATTTATTTACCGCAATTTACATTAATAGCTCGCGGCTTAGCAATATAGAACGTCTTTGCCATTTAATACGGAAAACCGAGGGTGAAGCTAAAACAATCGTTTCAAGATATCCATTAAATAATAATAGTTTTGAGTTAGCTTGGCGCGATTTAAGGAATACATATGAGAATCCTCGTATGTTGGTGCATAACCAACTAAAGCTTTTATTTAGTCTTCCTGCCTTTGACAAGGAGTCGATCACAGCACTCAAAACCTTACAGAGCGGAATCGATAGTTTTCTTACGGCACTTTCTATTTACAATGTGCCTACAGATAATTGGGACCCAATTATCGTGTTTATGTGTATTCAACGTCTACCTAGTTCAACAATTATTTTATGGGAACAGGGCATTAAGGACAAATTAAGTTTATCTTCATGGAAAGATTTAGATAATTTTCTGAAGGAAAGAATTCTGACTTTGCAATGTCTTCAAGAAATTAAAGGTACAAACTCCACTAATATGGAATCTTCATTGCAATCTCACAATTCTTCCGTTAAAATTTCTTGTATTTTATGTCCTAATCAGTCCCACTACTTGCGAAATTGTCGTCGTTTTAAAAGTCTTTCAATATCTGATAGAATTTCAACAGTGAATGAGCATAACTTCTGCACTAATTGTCTTTCGAGGACACATACCGCCAGAAGTTGCAAAATCAATAATAATTGTTATATATGCAATAATCGACATCACTCGATGCTTCATTTACAACATTTAGAAAATTCTGTGGTTGAAAGACCTACTGTTTCTACGGAACAGAACTCTGGTGCGGTTCTACGACCTACTAACTCCCACTACCAACAATCACATACGTCCAATAATGTAACGCCCAATTCACAAGTATTTCATACTAGTCAAAACCAGTCTGTTCTATTAGGCACAGCTACGGTAAATATAATTCATAATAACAATAAGCATCAGGTCCGCGCTTTAATTGATTCGGGTTCGGAATGCTATTACATTTCTGAACGATTACGGAAAAGGTTAAAACTTCCCACGCATTCTGCACACGCTCAAGTTTCTGGCATCAATAATGTAGTTATTGGAGTTTCTAAATATTGTCCTGTGGAAATTGGTTCCGATTTAGACTCTTCAGTAAACCTTAGTACAAACGCATTTGTTTTACCAAAAATTTCAGGAAATTTGCCTTCAACTTCCGTAAATATCGATATTAAAAAGTTATTGCCAAATCTTCGTTTGGCGGATTCTAATCTTTTAGATAGTAGGCCTGTAGATATTCTTATTGGTGCGGATTTATATCATCGTATAATTTTACCGGAAGTACAGCAAAATATATTAGGGTCGTTATTGGCACAAAAAACTGTATTTGGCTGGATTCTGACAGGACCAGCCAATCCTAGGGACTTTGAATCACATATCGCAAATTTACAATACACTACGTGGTCCAACGCTTCTTAACGTTTGTTTGAATATTACTTAAAATGCTCACAAGAATATATTTACGTCTACTTTAATATACATACTAAATTTAAATACACCACTTTGTGGTTGGGTCATTTATGACCATGCCCCTCTTTAAGGGGCCCAGTTCATGGTCTGCTTAAAACCATTCTCCATTTGAGAGCAGTATGTAGTCTGCGGAAAACTACATCCCATAGGCTTTGTCCTATGGGAACCCTTTTTCTACGAACCCAGTTCATGGTCTGCTTTAAAACCATTCTCCCTTTGAGAGCAGTATGTAGTCTGCGGAAAACTACATCCCATAGGCTTTGTTCTATGGAAACCATTATTTTACCAGCCCAGTCTGGTGTGATACCTTTGATCACTTGTTTTATAAAAAAAAAAAAAAAAAAAAAAAAAATTATTAACAAAAAAAAAAAAAAAAAAAACAATAAATTTATAGATATAGATCTCAATGTTAATTGCAACACTCTTTAGTGTTGCAAGGTGGCCGGCAATGTTCAAGTTCGATTTATGGTTTACACTTGTTTTGATAACATATGCAAATACTATTTTTTGCAACGTTAGAATCTTATTAAGCTCCGCTTTATTTACAACTTTGTTGGAAAATTCTAACGAGTAAACCGTTAACGGTACCTAAATATTGTTTGCCACCAATCTACGTTTTGTAAATTAAAAAACACTTCTTTTCTGATCGTCAACATAAGCACTACGTGCTCTTGGCGTTATTGCTTCTACGAGGTAAAATAATAATAATAAATAAATACAGAGAGATCTACGTCTCATTAAATTTGCAAATATTTTGTTTTATTTTCATAAAATCTTGGGAAATTGTGGTGGAGCTGAACACATATGTTGTATGTTTGAAAGACCTAACTCATGAAATGCAGAAGTTAGATAACTTTAAAAATTAATATTTTAAAAAAATTTTGGTTTTTATGGAATGCATTTGTATAGATTGACTATTTATTATTCGATATGGATATCAATGCAATGGTATTGAAATATCTTTTGATTGATATATAATATGGTCCATATCATTTATATCAACCTATTATTAGCCAGTGCCTGTGTTTTGTAACTTTCGAATCGACAAAAAAAAAAATCGAAAAATTTATAATCGTCTTGTTTAAAACAGGGTGAACACACGTAATTCAAATATATTTTGGTTAATTGTAATGTGTTCAGTTTAAAAATTATTTGAATCACGCAACTACATACATACATACATACATAAAAAATCGCGCGATTTTTTAAATAATTTTTCCCCTGCGGCGGTATGCTGCTTTTTTTCACAATTCAATCATTTCACCAAAAAGTGAAAAATTATTTCAAAAAAATCGCGCGATTTTTTTGAAATAATTTTTCGCCTGCGGCGCTAGACTGTTTCCTTCCACAATTCAATCATTTCACCTGCAGCGCTATGTTACTTTTTCCCACAATTCAATCATTTTACCAAAAAGTGAAAAATTATTTCAAAAAAATCGCGCGATTTTTTTGAAATAATTTTTCGCCTGCGGCGCTAGGCTGCTTTTTCACAATTCAATCATTTCACCTGCGGCGCTATATTACTTTTTCCCACAATTCAATCATTTCGCCTGCGGCGCTTTCCAGCTATTTCCTTTTCAAATCAATAATTTCACCAAAAAATAAAAATTATTTCAAAAAAATTATACAACTTTTTACCAATTTCAAATCATTTAATCAAAAAGTAAAATATTTTTATTCAATTATTTCATCAAAAAGTGAAACAACTTACCCACTTCTTTGTTTAATAATTTATTTCACCTAGATATGCTTTCTTTCTAAATTAACTTAAAAACTTCTAAACTTCATGAGTTACAAATTTCAAACGTATATTATAAAAAAGCCCAAATATTTTACAATTTCATGTTAAATGAGGTACCCTTACATCGATTTATTTTTGAGATAACGGTACTTTTGTAAAAACAATAAAAGAAATTTATATACAAATTGTCGCTGGCTCTCAATGGGTTAATGATATAAGTTACAATATACATCAATTGAAATTTATTTCAGAGACCTATCCACTGATATCCATATTGACCATATCAAATAATAAGCACTTGAGATTTATAATAACATATGATAAAAATCAAAATTTACGAAAATATAAATCTTTAAACTTAAATAACACCTGCATTTCATGGGTTATAGCTTTCAAACATATATCAAAGGAAAGCCCCAAATGTTGTCTACAAACATTCACGTAAGATGAGGTACCGTTATATCGATATGTTTTAGAGATAACGGTACTTTTTTAAAAAAAAGACAAATGAAAAAACAAAAAAATTCACCCTGGTTCTCAATGGGTTAATGATATAAGTTACAATATACATCAATTGAAAGGTATTTCAGAGACCTATCCACTGATACCCATGTTGACCATATCAAATAATATGCACTTTAGATTTATAATTACATATGATAAAAATCAAAATTTATGAAAATATAAAATTTTAAACTTAAATAACACCTGCATTTCATGGGTTATAGCTTTCAAACCTATATCAAAGGAAAGCCCCAAATGTTGTCTACAAACATTCACGTAAGATGAGGTACCGTTATATCGATATGTTTTAAGATAACGGTACTTTTTTAAAAAAAGTCAAAGGAAAAAACAAAAAATTCACCTTGGTTCTCAATGGGTTAATAATATTGGTATCTAACACATCAGTGGAAAGCTTCTGTCCAAAGACCTTTCCAATGATTCCCATATCGACCATATCCGTTTATCAGTAATCGAGATATATCCATTATATATCAGACCTGTGGAGGCCCATAAACTCCCGGACCCTAATAGACAGGATAACTTTTTTGCCATTACTGACACTCAGAAAGTAAAGCTACAAGGCAATAAAAAAAACTCTAAAAATCAGTGGATTAGACCCTTACTTTGTTCCATTTTTATTTTAAACGGTATTTGTATGGAAATTTTGTTTTATAAACCCTTTTAAAATAAAAAATTTTGTTTGTGAATAGGGGTAGAATTTTTAATTTACTTACTTAAAAAAGTAATATTATCATGTAAATCCGTGATCCGTGCCAACCACTACCATGGAAAGTGGTTAAAAGGTAAGATATTCTATGATAAAATCGAGATTTTAATCATTTTAATATTTACAATTGTGGGGATGTTTGTACTCTCAATTGATTAGTAAAAAGTTCCCTATAATTGATAAAATAGATGCATATTTAGGACAAATAGTTTGTGCAATTTTTGAGTATTTCGCATAAATTTACTACGGATTAAAATGAATATAAAATTTATTTATTAATTTTTTGTCCTAAAAATATAATGAATCCCTAGATAGATGTACATATTTTTTCGGATTGTGGTACCTCTAAATGGTATACTTTGACAGTTGTATCTACCTCAAATAAAAAAATTAGTGATCAGCTGTTGAATTGACTTCACCTTATAAATGCACCCTGCACTGGTTTGATGAAAATCAAAACACTTTTGATTTTCAACTGAAATTTAAGCAGAAGAAGCATACATTGAAGAAGAAGCATAAATTCATTTTTAGTTAGTTTTTGGTGAGACAACATCAAATTTTTTGCCGCAAGGTAAATGAAATATGGATGAAAAAAATCATATTCGAATTTATTTGCAGGCACAGTACCAAATTTTACTTGAAATATACAAAGAAAAATATCCAGTTTTTAAATAAAACAATTTTTCATTAATAAAAAAATAAATAATTGTTTTTTATAACAAAAATTACATTTATAATAATGGTAAAAATTTTATGTGTAACAGTGTAGACACATAATGCATAAAATTTTTTCATACATTTTTTATCACTATGCGGTAAAAAATGATGTTGCTGTCGCAAAATTTAAATAAAAATTAAATTTATGCTTCTTCTTCCTCAATGATTGCTGGAATAAATTACTAACACATAAACAAGTTTTGATCAAATGTTGACGTGTGGCCATCACCCTTTATAATTATTCTTTTAGTAAAATTCGGCTAACTTTTTTATATTTTACTTAAAAAACGATAAATTAAACTGATATATTGTCAGAATTTTCATTGGCACGTGAAATTTACTTGTACCCCGACAATATAGCACTTATCAATTGCTGAATTTATTCTACTGGTTTATTGCCGCCATTGTGTTTTTTTCTTTTTTTTTTTTTTGCACTTAAAAAAAATATAAGTTTGCATTAAGGAAGCAATTATTGTTTCAACATTTTGTGGGTTAAATTTTCAACATAATTTGCTGTTAATGCCAAGCTGCCGTTGTGTTCCTGCTGTTTTATTGCTGCTTGTTGGTTATTGTTTTCAGTGGATTGCAGTTTTAATTTCTGAATTGAATTTGATGTTTTCTGCCATTGTGTGTTTTAGCAGAGACAACAAACAAAATACGTATAATAATCCTAATAATTTCAACATTTTGTGGGATTAATTTTCGACATCATATTTTTGCTGTTTACTACCAAGTTGGTGTTGTGTTCCTGCTGTTGATGGTTGCTGTTGTTGTTGTACTGCTCAGTGGAAACATTTTACATACATAACTATGCCGAACTCTAAAGCGCAAACTTACAAGTGTGGAGTGTGCCAGAACACAATTTTAAAATCTCATCCGTGTATTCAATGTAAAATTTGCAAATGCTGGAATCATCTACCTTGTGCTGACGTATCAGATAAACATTTAGCATTATTTAAAGAACGACCAAATGCATTTAGTTTTACATGCTGTGTATGTTCTGAACATGAAGATGACTCTAAATCTCTTCGTGAGGAAGTAAGAGCATTAAAAAATAGTTTTGATGATTTTGTTAAAACCAGTAAAGAAGAAGTTACAACCTTTGAAGATATTTGTTCAATTCACAATCGATGTTGTAGCGTTGTATGCGTTGTATGTCAGCAGCTGCTACAATAGTCATAACAATGTTGTTGGTATTTTCTATGCAAAAGCTCTATACAACTCCTACGACAATTTTTCATATGTTTTTCGAATGTTGTAAGAAAGTTTAGTGTTGCCAAATGTTTATTTCAACATATAAACAAAAAATTCAAACGATTTTAGCATAAAAAACGATAAAGTGGTAACACTGAAATCAAAAACAAACAGCTGTTTACCAAAACAAAAGAGCTAAAATTTAATTAATAACTGTTTATTTATTCGTTTAAAATGCGGAATAAAGAAAATAAAAGAATTGAAAACAAAGAAATTAATTTGGTTCATTTCGCATGTTTAATTAGTTTAATATTTTTTGATTTTTTTTTTATCTTTTGACATTGTTATGTATATTTGTTTTGATTGTTTTTTTTTTTTTTTCATTGAGAACATAAACTTATGACTTGCTGCAAAGATCTGTTCACAATCACTGTTACTACACTTTAGTAGGTACAATATACAACTTGATTGTGAATTGAACAATTATGGCTGAAGTAATAAACGAATTTAAAAACGAAGTTTCTACATGTATCAAGGATATGAAATCTGATATTATTTCATGCAGCAATTTTATTAATAACATTTCTGTTACCACCAAACTCTCAGCAATGGAAATGGAAAATCATATACTACACCGTGGATTAAACCGAGCTGATATTGTCATTAATGGATTGCCGTCTGGTTTAAGTGATTTAAAATCCATCATTATATCATTATGTTCATTTTATGGCATTGACATCTCAGAGTTCAATTTAAATAATGTTTGTTACATGAATAAAAAAAGCTCATATTAGTAAAATTTAACAACGTTGAACTGCGTGATCGCCTTGTAAAGGAATATTTTAAAAGTAAATCCCTTATAGTTAAGGACATACTTAGTGGTGACATTGAAAGCCGTGTGTACCTTAATGATCACTACTCTCCCAGTGCCTCAAATCTAAACTTCGTGTGCCGTAAACTTATGTATTAAAAATATATCCTTAAATACAAAATTCTTAACAGCGATAATTTAAAAGCAAAACTAACGCTGCGTGATGTCAAGGAAGTCTTTTACAATGTTGGTGAATGTGCTAAATTACTGGACTTCGGTTCCAAAGCTAAAGAATAATTATTTTTATTTATATACTATTCATTTTTATAAGATTTAACGATTAATTTATCTTTTTGATCTCTTATATTGCTTGCCTTTATTTTGGCTACTAT